ATCCTGCAGTGGCAACTGTCCAGAATCCATCTGTCCTCTAGTTTCATCTATCCACTTATCAGATTAGATTCAAGTCCAGTAGCACCTTAGAGACCAACAAGATTTTTGAGGTATACACTTTCGAGAGTCAAAGTCATTAAGAGTTTTGACCAGTGTTCCCTCACAACCAATGCTCCCTCTAAGCTGTGGAGTCCAGTGAGCAAAAATTATACTTTGAGCTACTGGCATTAAAGTTGTGAGCGAGCGATTTGGCTACTGTGTAAATCAGTTTGCTCTGGAGCCATCCCTTCCTGAGCGAAGGCAAAAATGTGTGAGCCGGAGGCTAAAAAACTGTGAGCTAGCTCACACTAACTCAGCTTAGAGGGAACACTACTCACAACTTTAATGCCAGTAGCTCACAAAGTAGAATTTTTGCTCACAAGACTCCACAGCTTAGAGGGAGCATTGGTTTTGACTCCTGAAAGCTTATACCCCCTAAATTTTGTTGGTCTCCAAGGTGCTATAGGATTCGAATCTAGCTGTCCTTATGCAGACCAACATGGCTACCTGTCGTGGGCCAGCTTGACCAGCTTGAGTCCAGTGTGGCTGAAGACTCCTCAGGAGTCGAGGAGCCACATGTAGCCAGCTCTGAACCAGCTAAAGTTAGTGAATTAGAGATACAGGAGCCTCAAGATTCATTGCTGGCAACTGACCTCGACCCACCCACGGATAGCTCTGAAGTAGCCGAGGAAGCACAGCTGCAGGGAAGTAGCCCACCAGGCTCCCCCTCATTAACAGCGAAGGGAAAAGCTCCAGCAAGAGCTAAGGACATGCAGACAGGGTGCTCACCTCTTGGCTTGGAGCCAGCCACTTAATGATAGCAGTTCTGAGTAAGTGCAGGAGCACCTCCAAAAAGATGGCTGTAAATCATGATTATTAAGGATTATAAATCAGCCCTGGAGAACTGTGACTTGTGTAAACAAACTGTCACAGCCCTGTGAACTTCTCAAGCACGACTCTGGACTCAGCCTGCCTCCTGTGACTTTTGGACTGACCCTTGATTCTGCTTTTTGGACCTGCCTGAATCTTGTTGTTCAACAACCTCGGACTGCCTTGACTCTGCTTTCCTAAACAACCCACGAACTCTGACTGCTGCTTAATCAGTATTTGATCTCTAGACTGGACTCTTGACTGTGATCTAGCTCTGTTGCCTTGCTCGGTGGCCTAGCTCTGTTGCCTTACTCTGCCTGTATTCCAGGACACTCTCCTCTGAAATTATTTGCACGACTGATCTGTTGGTATGACACATTTTGATAGGTAATGAGGTGCTCCCAGGAAACATTGGAGATCGTTGCAGAAGCATGTGTGCACAGGGGGACTTTTGGGGGGCTCCGGCTCAACACATCAGATCCCCCCTCCAAAGCACACAGCACCAGATCCTGCCCCCACAGGGAGGCTGATTCATTCAGAAGCACTGGGGATTTAAAGAACCAAACTCTCTTTTTGGTGCTTAAAGTTCTGTCTAGTCATGGCTGATTTATGGCAACCCCACAGGGTTTTCAAGGAAAGAGATGAAGCAGAGGTGGTCGGTCATTGCCTTCCTCTGCAGACTCTTCCTTGGAGGTCTCCTTTCCAAGCACCGACCACGCTTAGCTTCTGAGATATGATGAGATTGGGCTATAACACAACGCCTTCCCTCCTAACCAATCTCCCCATCCCTCATCTAAAGGAACATTCAGAGAGCTAATGGTGTTGCTGTAAACCGACGGTTTCCAATCTGTTTCAGGAAACTAGGGCTTTTTTGGTAACTTATCAGTGGTTACATAGCTAATAAGAAAAGCAGTGATGGTGGACAGGATTCCTTGGAAGACAGGATTCCCAATGCTACTTATCATTCCCTATAACATGTAGCTGCAGGGAAAAGATGTGTGTTTTGAGGCATATTCTCTGTACACATCAAGAGTTTAGAAAAGAGAAGACCAAAGGGGGACATGACAGAGGTTTATAAAATGATGCATGGGGTAGAGAAAGTTGGCAAAGAGATACTTTTCTCTCTCTCCTACAATACTAGGATTTGACAGCATCCAATGAAGCTGATGAGCAGTAGGTTCAGGACAGACAAAAGGAAAGTCTACTTTATACAGAGAGTGATTAAAATGTGCAGTTTGCTGCCAGAGGATGTACTGATGGCCACAGGAATAAACACCTTTAAAAGGGGAGTAGACAGATTCATAGAGGATAAGTCTATCAATGGCTACTAGCCATGGTGACCGAGGGGAACCTCCATGTCCAGAGGCAGCCAACCCAGAACCAGGAGGCAACATCAGGGGAAGGCCTCGGCCTCCGTGCCCTGTTGTTGGCCCTCCAAAGGAACTGGTTGGCCACTGTGTGAGAGAGGATGCTGGACTAGATGGACTATTGGTCTGATCCAGCAGGGCTCTTATGTCCTCCGAAAGCTGAAATTTGGCAGAAAAACAAAAACTCCAAATGCAACTATAAACAAAGACAGATGCCTAACCATCTAAAAAGACAAATTAATAAGCAGTCTATTTATATTTCATGCCCTTCTTTGTTCAGCCTAGCAGGGGTACGCTGTCTTCCCCTTCAACCACCTCATAAGCTCAGTCAACCTAGTTATTAATGGCAATGAGCAGACAGCAGGGAGAAAAGACAGAGTAGCTTCCAAAACACAGGCCTATTAGTCAAGAAAGCTGAAGGGGAATCAATTGGAATTATCAAAATGTTCACATTCGTCACATTCAGATGTTACAGTGATCAGTGCTAGTGTGCTCAGGTAACCTCGGGGATAAAACGAAGCAGTGTAAAAGATTCCACTCAAACAGCAGTCCCACTTCAAGTAATCCATGGATTTGCGGCGTGAAATCTTAATGCATATTCATGGGAAATGAGTAAGTACAGACAAATGTTTCTCGGAAATCAGCAAACCTCGCTTGCCCAGTCCCATCTCAGAGTGTTCGTTTTGAGATTCGTTGCAAGAGAAGCAGAGCTTCCATTTAAGCAAATCTTACATGAATGTACGAGAAGCGGCCTTCCACAAAGTCAGACTATTGGTCCATGTGACTAAGTATCATCTACTCTGATTGGCGGATTCTCTCTAGGGTCTTTCCCAATATCTGTTTCAGGGCTCTTTTTGTAGAAAAAGCCCAGCAGGAACTCTTTAGCATAATAGGCCACACCCAACAGCAGACACTCATTAGCATATTAGGCCCTGACAGCACAGCTCATTAGCACATTAGGCCACACCCCCATGTTACCAGAAGTGTGCTCATCCAGCCACACCCACCTTTTCCTTCTTATTCTGTTTACCTTGTTGTTGTCGTCAAAACCTAGGGCTTTTTTTGTAGCAGGAACTACTTTGCATGTTAGGCCACACACCCCTAATGTAGCCAATCCTAATGAGTTTCTGCTGTTGGGTGTGGCCTATTATGCTAATGAGTTTCTGCTGGGTGTGGCCAACTTGGGAGCCAGCCGGAACTCCGTTCCTGTGTGTTCCTGCCCCAAAATAGCCCTGCCTGTTATCTGAAATCCTTAACTGGAGATGTCGGGGATTGATTCAGGGATACAAGCCATGAGGTCTACCGCTCCCTTAATTCACATCTTGCATGGGACTTCCTTTATGCAGTCCTAAGGACCCTGACGCTCTTGTCCCAAGGCAACAATCCTCTAATCTCCACAGAAACATTAAAAGGATCAAAGGCAAAAAACAGGCATCTTCTTACACGGGCCCGTGTGACTTCTAGCCCCACAGACCGAAGCTGAAAAAGCACACCAGAAAATCTGACCGTCTACCCAAGCCACGTTCACATGTGTGAGAGTGGGGATGAAAGCATACAAGCCGTGAGGTCTACCGCTCCCTTAATTCACATCTTGTACTTCCTTTATGCAGTCCTAGGGGCCCTGACGCTCTTGTCCCAAGGCAACAATCCTCTAATCTCCACAGAAACATTAAAAGGATTGAAGGCAAAAAATAGGCATCTTCTTACACAGGCCCGAGTGACTTCTAGCCCCACTGACCGAAGCTGAAAAAGCACACCAGAAAAGCTGACTGTCTACCCAAGCCACGTTCACACGTGTGAGAGTGGGGATGAAAGCGGAAAACAAAAACACATCATACATAAAGTAATATCGGCTGAAATTCAAATGAGGATCAAACCTGTCTAAGTCCTGGGCAAACTAAGTGTCAAGTTTTCTGGCTGGCTGTCTCCAAACCTACTGAAACTCCCAGAAAACAATCATGCAGAACCATCCCCTTAGGACGGACCATTCAGTTCACCCTTGTGGGGAAGAAACTGCATATATGAAGGTTATCTCACAACAAAAGCTCCAAGTATGTGGGGACATGAGATAGAAAAGTCCTGTCCAGTGTTCCCTCTAAGCTGAGTTACTGTGAGCCTCCGGCTCACACATTTTTGTCTCAGCTCAGGAAGGGTGGCTCCAGAGCAAACTAATTTATGCAGCAGCCAAATCGCTCGCTCGCAACTTTAATGCCAGTAGCTCACAGAATATAATTTTTGCTCACAAGACGCCACAGCTTAGAAGGAAGCCTTGGTCCTGTCCTAATCTCCTCTCTGACTCATGGGTTTTCCATCTACCTTTTAAATTCGGTGAGCATTCAAACACACAATTCCCCAGGATGGCTGTACTGAGTGCTTTTTCTAAATGTGGGATTCTAAACTAACCTCCTCTTCCTATCATTTTTGTTTTTCAAACCTATAATGGAACTCCTCAAGACAGACACCATAATTGTGGCGTTTTCAGTACGGGTTGCATTTCTTAAAGGGTGCTTTAGTGATCTGTCACAGCATTCCAAGTTCATGGTGCTTTCTTGCTCTTACATTGTTCTTTTTGTGGGAAGCGATGTTTTAGAATTTATGCTCCACCTGTTATTAGGTGCCTTGGGAACACAGGCTGAGAGGCAGCCCCCCCCCAAATTTAAACAAACAAACAAGCAGATGTGTTACGTGGAATATATCTGTTCTTTTGTACATGAATCGGCTTACCCGGGAAGGCCCCGATGCCTGGTCCCATGTGGCTAGTCCAGGTGTTTCTCGAATGGAAAGTCCACGTAAATCCTGTAGATGCATCATGCGTCCAACCACAAAGGTCTCCGGGAAGATCAAAGTTGCAGTTGAATCCTATGGGGAGCTGGAAATCTTGTAAGAGGAACAAAATGACATAGAAGAGCATCAAAGAAAGGCTAGCCACAGAGAAATGCTAACGAACGTATCTAACAAATCTTAAACAGTGAAGCAAGCAGGAAGTTTCTCTGGCTGGTGCACACAGCCCCTCGGTCTTTCCGCTCCACAATACTTTTAATAAGTCTCAAGTTTCAGCTGCTTGTGAGGATCTCTAGTTGGAATCATCAAAATGAACATACCCCACATCCTTCCTATCCTAAGCGAACATAAACAAAGACACCAAATGCCGCCAGCCTCTCTAACCAGCACCTTCTCCACAAAGTACATTTTAACTATCCAGAGGTATATGCCACGCTCTTCAGTTGTACTACATCATCCTGTCCTGGTGCCAAGAAGACAGGGGGGAAATTGCAATGTGCCTTAAGATTTCTGGCTATTAAATGAGATATGCAAACACTAGGAGGCTGGAATCATAGAATCATAGAGTTGGATGGGACCTCCTGGGTCATCTAGTCCTACCCCCCTGCACAATGCAGGAAATTCAGAAATACCTCCCCACCACCACCCCAAGTGACCGTTGTTCCACGCCCAGAAGATGACAAAAGAACCTCCAGGATCTCCAGCCAAACCGGCCTGGAGAAAAATTGCTTCCTGACCCCTGATACCGCTGAAGGATATAGAGTTTTCAAGGCAAGAGATATTCAGAGGTGGTTTGCCCTTGCCTGCCTCTGCGAAGCAACTCTGGATTTCGTTGGTGGTCTCCCATCCAAATAGTAACCAGCGCTGACCCTGCTTAGCTTCCGAGATCTGACGAGATCAGTAACGTTACTTACAGTAAAAACTGCCAGCGTGGATGCAATCTAGATATTTGTGCCTCAGAGCTTATTCACACATGCACCGAGTATGTATAAATGTGTGAACAGCCCCCGCTGAAACATGCTATGTTTGATGACAAGCAAGCTCTGATCATGGCATTTGTGGTGCCCGTTTTATATGCGCTGCGCTGAACGATGCAGTCACTGAATAATAAACTTGAATTTATGAACTCGCCCACCCAGCTCTACTGAAAAACATCTACAGCTTAAATCCCAATGATTTCAAAAGAACCGTACACAGATCGCTGTTTTCTGAATTGTGCCTTTAATCTAGCTGAGCTTCATAAGATTCAACTAAGAACCAGAGGGGGGGCATGGAGACGCCCAAGGACTTATTGACAAGTACTGGCCTTGGGGAATCTCAGTTCCTCTTGGATTTCCTTGACAATGATAAGGTTTGCCAGCATCCATAAAGAACTTTGCCTGAAGAGCACAATGTAAACTCCAAATAAAAATATATGCAACTGATTCCTCTGTAATACACAGGAAGGAGGCAGGACGGCTGATTCTCATGTTATTCTTTCTCCCCAGATATGGGATGAATCCTGCAATGTTCCCTCTGAGCTGAGTTAGGGTGAGCTAGCTCACAGTTTTTTAGCCTCTGGCTCACACATTTGTGTCTTAGCTCAGGAAGGATGGCTCCCGAGCAAATTAATTTATGCCGTAGTCAAATCGCGCACTCACAACTTTAATGCCAATGGCTCACAAAGTAGAATTTTTGCTCAAAAGACTCCACAGCTTAAAGGGAGCATTGCTCCCTGGCATGCATACTTGCACAGGCATAAATTACGTAAACATGCAACTGGGTCCTCCATGGACTAAATGGTGGCCTTCATGTTCCAGATGCCAAGTCAGACACAGAGTCACTTGCACTAGACATTTGCTTGTGGATGGGAGCAGAGGACAATGAGGAGCAGGAGGAGGAGTCTCAGAGCGGCTTACGATCGCCTTCCCTTCCTCTCCCCACAACAGGCCCCTTGTGAGGCGGGTGGGACTGAAAGAGTTTCAAGAGAACTGTGACTGGCCCAAGATCACCCAGCTGGCTGCATGTGGAGGAGTGGGGAATCAAACCTGGTTCTCCAGATTAGAGTCTGCCACTCTTAATCACTACACCATTCGATTTCCAAAAAGAAAACAAATTTTAAGATTTGGGCCTCCAAGCTGAGCATGTCAGATTTTTAGAAGAAAGAAGTCAACTTCTTGATTTTTAGGATGAGGGGCCTTTTTGGTCGTGGCACCGTAACTCTGGAACTCTCTCCCCAGGGAGATTCATCCATCCCCTTCTTTGTGGCTGTCCTCCACCAGGAGGGCCTGTCTGTTTCCTCCAGCATTCTCTTAGTGATCACTTCTTCCTACCCTATATTTTAATTATTGTTTTATATTTTGTCAGGGTATTTTAGCTTTGGCTTCAAATTGTTTTTATGGTGAGCTTTTTTGGGGGGTGGAATGGTTTTAAGATGTACTTCAAATTGTTTTTATGGTGAGCTTTTTTTTTGGTAGAATGGTTTTAAGATGTGTTTTTTATCATGCTTATTTTACCTGTTAGCCACTTGGGTAGCCCTGATGAGGGCAGAAAGGTGGGGTATAAATTTGGTGAATAAAACTTCAAAGGAAAGATCAATAGAGAAAGTGGGAGCAAAAAAAAAAAGGTGGACAATTAAAGACTGGGATGCCCACTTATAGCCGAAGCCTGTTCCTAGCTTTTCTGAAAAAGGAGAACATTTAAAGACATCAAGTCTACAAAGATAACAATCACCAGGAACAGGTTAATGACCCCCTATGATAGTCATCAGTCAACCACTTACGTAGAAATGGAAAGAACTTAGCCTGGCTCCAGAAATAATAATAATAATTAAACAATACTGTAATATTAATAGCCATGACTCCATTTATACTATGATTTAATCTAATTTTGCTTCTGAGGAAGGTAATGTTTTAGACTTCCATAAATCTGCTCGTCCAGAGAAATGTACACCATTGTTTGCAAACCCCCAGTAATGAAAATTATAGTTAAATCAAGAGAAAAACAATATGAACTCCTGGCTGCTTTTAAAAACGTTTAAAAGTTCGTGAGTTTTCAGTATACAGATTGAAAACTTCATTTCCCTCTTGAGAGTTCCGGTACCCCCTTTAAAAAAAAAAAAGCCTTGGAATAACCTACATTGACATCGGGGCAAAAGGACATCAAAGCTTTTCATGCAGGTATGCATGTTCACATATGCATATACATGTACATAGGTAGAGCAAATACCTATGTACACATGTGTGCACGTGTGCACATACACGCGTGTCAAAATCTTTGTTTGCCCAGATGTCAATGCAGGTTATCCAATGCATGCAGATGTTCTCAGACTGTATGATTAAAAGAGGCCTATCATCATAACCTACTCAATACAATCTTTGGACGGCTCAGAAGGATATAAGATACGCACGCATCCATCAGGGCATCTGTCCAAACCCCATTCCTCTTAAAAAGAACGGTCTCAACAGTGCAGTAAATCAATGCAGCGTTTTTTGAAGTCACTCACTCCTCAGTGTTAAATAAGATCCGACTCCTGACCAAGCCTCTCTAGAGCTTGGTCTGTCACTAGTAATATCATTCTGCAAGGCTTGGCGAGTGGGGGAAAACACAAGAGTGATCACTTAGCTGCAAACTCATTATTGACAACAATATAACTGGAGTGGTCGAACTGCAGCTCAAGAGCTAAATGCTTATCTCAAGCAGTTCGAGCCTGGCTCTTGGCCAGCGTAAGAAAGAGACAGCTCAAGGCAGGGGAGGTACCCTCGCCCAGCCAATTAAAGAGTGGGGCAGCAAGCAGAGTGGGGCGGCAGACTGCAGAACGACCACGTTCCCCACGGCGAGTTTCTCACCCCAACGAAGTCGTGATGGGCAGTAGATTCAGGAAAGACCAAAGGACATTACTTGGCAACTAATTATCAATGAGATAATCTGCCGGGCCTCCCCTCAGTGGGTCAGATTTGCATTACCATCTAAGGACCCAAACTTGAAATAGATGGCATCTGTGAGGCTTTAACTATGGTTTGTACCAGAGGAATGTTGTTGTATTTTATTGGGGGTTTAACTGTTTTTAATTTTTTTTAATTTAAGATGCTGAACTGCAGGCTGGAAGGTTGGTAGTTCAGCAGTTCGAGACCCGAGTGCCGCATGACGCTCCCGTCTCTGGTCTCAGCTTCTGCCAACCTAGCAGTTCAAAAGCAAGAAATTGCAAGTAGATAAATAGGTACCACTTTGCTGGGAAGGTAACAGCATTCTGTGTGCCTCAGCGTTTAGTAATGCCGGCCACATGACCATGGAAATGTCTTTGGACAGTGCTGGCTCTTTGACTTGGAAACGGAGATGAGCACCGCAACCCTACAGTCGGATTCGACTGGCTTTCGAGCAAGGGAAACCTTTACCTTTAACCTTATATTGTATACTGGCTATTATGTTTGATGGAACCCGCCCTGAGCCTGCTATGAGGGGAGGGCGGGATATAAATCCAACAAAATAGATAAATAAATAAATACATTGTGGGATTCACTGCCAGTAGCCATAGCAATGGCCACTAGCACAGATGACTTTAAAATGAGATTAGGCAGATCTATGGAGGGCAGGTCCATTAGTGGCTGCCACCCATGATGACTATAGGGAACTTGCACATCCGGAGGCAGTAAAGTTCGGAATTATACCACTGCTGGATAGCAACATCAGCTCGGTGCCCTATTGCTTGACTCTCCAGGACAACCGGTTCGACAGCCGTATGAAACAGGATGCTGAACTAGATGGACTCCTCTTACGTTCTACTCACAACACAATGATTGGGGTGGCCCAGATTTTAAGTAATAAATGTTAAGGTGGAATACCAGTGGGCAGAGGACTTGCTGCAGGAATGGACCATGTGCTCTGGCCCCGGGACTGAGCAAAGTCAGGAGGTGAAACCTTGCTCTGTTGGGGACTTTGATGTGGGTTAGGAAAGGACGAGGAGCTTAGAAAGTATGACTTGAGACCCCTACTGGAGCTGTAGAGCAAGCATGAGCTGCATGGGCCCGCGGGAACCACTGGGGAGAATGCGCACGAGTCAAGCCTCGTGGGACTGGCCAACAGGCAAGGAACCCGTGTCTGCCTTGCAGGAGATGGCAAGGAGGAATTTTCAAGGCTCAGGAGAGCTTATCTTCCCTCCTGGCTGCATGGCATGGGGCAAGGCTCTGGGATTACACCTTTATATAAAGGCTGTTTCTGGGGCAGCTGGAGAGGGAGGGACCTGAGGGAGGGATCTGGGGCAGTGAGTTTCCTCTCTGGAAATAACTGCTGCTCCATTCTTCCCTCATTCCTTCAGGTGTGATCGATCTGGCTGAAGGAGTCTTGAAACCCCCACAAGGGACAGGGGTGGCTTCTCGGCTTAAATTCCATTCTTTGCAGGCCTTGCATGACGTCATCTAAACCATATCGGCCTGTAGATATCGCTGTTTAGGCTCTGGGTTCCTATTAGCTGGGTTTGGACAGGTTGTTCGTTTTAATGATGATACGGCTTTTTATTATTTTGCCTCGTTTCCTTAAAAAATAATATCCAGAACCAGGGGTCATTTTGTAGAAAAAGAGGTGCAGGGGCTCATTAGCATAACTCATTAGCATAACTTATTTGCATATGCCACACCCCCTAACATCACCGGAGGTGGGTCAGAAGGCAACACCCACCGCTCAGGCTCCACTGGACTGTTTTGGATTGCTAGCTATGGGGGGAGGGGGAATGTGCAGATCTGTCCTCGCAGAGGAGGGAGAGCTTGTACCTGAATAAAACTTGGTCTTAAAGGTGCCACTGGACTGTTTTGGATTGCTAGCTATGGGGGGAGGGGGGAATGTGCAGATCTGCCCTCACAGAGGAGGGAGAGCTTGTACCTGAAGGTGGGCCAGGGGGGCGGGGGGGCTCTGCAAGTTACCTGGCTGCTTCTTGCTCCTCATGGCCCAACTGAGGGCTGCTGGGAGCAGGGGGCGGGGCTTATAGCATGTGCCCACCCTCTGGGCTCCTTACTGACGGAGCTCCGCTCCTGTGCGCTCCCGCAGGAAATGACTCCTGTCTAGAACGTTATTAAAATGAACAGCTCTAATAGCCCAAATGAGCCTGATCTCATTGGAGCCTGGAAGTTAAGCAGGGTCAGTACACGGATGGGAGGCCAGCAAGGAAGACCAGGCAGTGGCAAGCCACCTCCGCTCCTCTCTTGCCTTGAAAGCCCCATGAGGTTGGAAGTTCATGGGGTCACCATGAGTTGGTTGTGACTCAATGGCGCACTTCACGTTGATCTTACATTAATGAGTTGCCTCAAAAAGGTCTCTGAAAGGGCAGCATATACATTTTCTTAATAATCAAATGGAAAAAATAGATACCTCCGTTGTCCATACAGCTGTCCCCGCATTCCGTGACTTCTTCATCAGTGGGGAACTGTGTGGTGGTCTCCTCACTTTTCAGCGTGGGCTTCAGTGTCTCTGCAGTGGACTTCAGGTCTGCATTTAGAAGAAGGAAAAAATGTGAGAAAACTCATGGGCTTAAGAAAAGAAGTCAGACTGGAGAACGACCCTGTGTAGACAAGAGGGGGAGCCTTGCCTTCCCATGAAACACATTATTGCTGGCTAGGTGCCGTAACAATAAAATTCGCCATGAAACACGTGGTTTAGGTCTCTTGCTTACGCCGATACACTGCAGAATTTGTCCAAACATCAGTCGCAGAGATTGAACATTTAAAGCGCAAACACCAAGTTTTCCATGTTTTGTGTGGCTGCCTCATCCCAAAAGTTATTCACTGGACTGTTAACACAGAACTATTTCTCAAACATCTCCAGCACAGGAAGCATCACATATAGTCTTACATCAAGATGGGAAGCTGTGTTAGTCTGTCGGTAGCAGCAGAAAAGAGAGTCCAGGAGCACCTTAAAGATTAACCAAATTTGTATGAGCTTTTGTGAGTCGTTGCTCACTTCTTCAGATACAGCTAGAATGTGAGTCAGTCTTAAATATTCAGAAAATACTTTATCAGTATTTTTCTGATATTGTTTCAGCCGGATACAGATTTGGGGGTATTGTTTGGCCAAACCCTGAAAATCCTGAAAATATTTGGGATTCTCGGGGCTGCCAGACAGTCGAACTTAAAGTGCATTTAAAGGGATTGCATTCTCTTTAAATGCCTTCTCCAAGCTTTGTGGCTCCATGGACGTACCTTTAAACACCTTCCGGGTGAACTTGCCACTTTGAGGTAGTTAAAGGGACTGTGAGCCCCTTAGATGCCTTCGGAGTTCACTTGCTGCGGAGTCACATGGCTTGGAGAAGGCACTTAAAGGGACTGCAAGCCATTTAAATGACTTCCTCCCTCCATTAAAAGCAGGGGAGTTTGGGGGCACCTTCTTTGGGGCCTATAGAATTGGACCCCTGGGAGAGGGGTTGAGGAGAGGCACCAGCAGCTATGCTGTGAGTTTGGTGTGCCTTTTTTTCAAAAAACAGCCTCTCAGAGCCCCAGATATACCCAGATTGATTCTCCATTAGACCTTATGGGGACCATTGACTAGAAAGGTCCCCATAGGGTATAATGGAGCTGAAAAAATTCAGGTTTCCCAAATATTTCCTAAATCTGGCTATCATACCAGTATTGGGATTCGGGAAGATCAGAAAATATAGATAGTTTTCAGGTTCAATATACCCAAACCCAAAAAATACTGGGGTTTTTTTTGCCCATCCCTATTGGAAAGTAGAGTGATTTCAAATGCCAAATGACATTAGCAGACAAATGACAATAGCAGGCAGTGTTCCCTCAAAGCTGAGTTAGTGTGAGCTAGCTCACAGTTTTTTGGCCTCCAGCTCACACACTTTTGTCTTAGGAAGGATGGCTCCAGAGCAAACTAATTGATGCAGGAGTCAGATTGCTCGCTCACAACTTTAAATGCCAGTAGCTCACAAAGTAGGATTCTTGCTCACAAGATTCCACAGCTTAGAGGGAACACTGATAGCAGGTGTGATTGGATTAGGTATGATATGCAGCGGGGTAGTAGGCGTGGAGAAATCAGCATTGGTAATGAGACAGGAAACCTAGGTCTCGATTCAGTCCTGGTGGATACATTGTCTTGAACCTTGTTATCAGTTGCGATTCAGCAGTCTCTCTTTCTAATCTCCCTTTGAAATTCCTTTGTAAGGTAACTGCTACCTTTAGTTCAGCAACAGAAGGTCCTGGAAGGTTAAAATGCTCCCCCCACTGGTTTTTGAATGAATGCTGTAGTTTCCGATGTCAGACTTAAGTCCATTAATTCTTTGTCAAGCAGACTGGCCTGTTTGTCCAATGTAGAGGTTGGATGTCCCATTGTCTTGAACATAGGCACCATCACTGTAGATGTATCAGGATATATGGGCTCCATCTGAAGACCATACGTTATTAATACCCCCAGCTATGTCTGGGAGGCATTTAAAGGTCCCTATCTATTCTAAGATTCTATGGAGACCCCAATGAATGGAGTGATATTTGGAAATATTTGATCCCATGAGCAGGAAGCATGCCTCGAAAGCAGACCAAGAAAGACAGATAAGAAACAGAACATCTGATGAACGTAAACCACCTCTTGAATGAATTCAGACTCACCGCATCTAAGCCATGAAGCCAAAAAACAAAAGCTTCCTTGTGCGCATGGTGATAAGGTAATGAAAGAAAAGCCATGAAGTTTTCCCACACGCTACAGATGTCAACATGGCTCAAATCACTTGTAAAGCTTGATTTACGGATGTAGAGGAAATAAGGGATTCTTTCATCTTTGGACTCCAGTGGACAACAATATCCTTTACACTTACATTCCTACTGTGGTGGTGGTGGTGTGTGTGTGCTTTTTTTTAGCAAAGAAGTTTACTGAAATCCTAGGAAAATTGAGATCAGAGGCAACACATTCTTTTCCTTCGTAATAAGACTGAAACATGAAAGAAAGAGAGAGGCATAAACACCCCAATTATGCCAATGTATAAGAACAAGTCACTGAACATGGCAAACGATGCACCTACAAAGGGGACCGAAAGAATCCCTAGTGTGTCCTGGCTCCTTGCCAGCAAGCATCTGGTTTCACACTCTGGCTGTATATTTTCTCCCACCCTTACTCCAGGACTCCAGGAACCTACCTAAAAGCAGGTGTCAGAGGCAATTTCAGCCATAAAGGCGTGATGTTAAGATCAACAGTAATTCACAACGCAGGCGACTGCCGCTTTTACATAACGAGAGGAAAAGAGTTAGGCTGGAATGAAACGACTCTGAGGGATCTTATTAAACACCTAACATCTAGAAAGGTCTGCAAGGTGTAATATATGCAGGACTTTTCAGATGCCCTGCTAAAACAAAAGTCCAAGGGTTGTGACGGAAACACGAATATGGAATGGGGGGTGGGGGAACCCGTCCAAGAAAAAAAGCTACGCAAATCAATGGAATTGATGGGATTTTGCATAAACGTGCGCAGTGCTTTATTCTTTTTTTTATTAATTTTTATTTGTTTTATCCATCACTTTTACATTCCATATTATTTAGCATCTTACAATTTTTCCTCCCTTCCTCCCAGTGCTTTATTCTGAGACCAATAACTGAGGTTTTGAAAAACTTGAAAGGGACTGTAGCTCAGTGGACCAAGGTTCTAATTCAGTCTAAGGCAGCTTCACATGTGTGTTCATTTTTCAGCACAACAGAGAGAGATATGGGTGTTAAAGGGCAGGTGGATTTTCTACAGACAAGATTATGGGCTGGTGGAACAGATAAATGTACTGCCCTCCTCAGAAGTGGATGTGTGTGTTTCGTGGAATCACCTTCCCAAGAAACCCACCATGGTGTAGTTGTTAGTGTCAGACTAGTATCGGAGAGACCCAAATACAAACCCCTACTCTAGCATGGGAGCTTGCTGGGCGATCTTCAGCCAGTTACTTGCCTCACCCTAAGTGGTGGTCATGAAAATAAAACGGAGGAGAGGACAATGCTGTTGTAAGCCAGTTTGGGTCCCCACTGGGGAGAAAAGGCGAGTATAAATATCTAAATAAATAAATGACAGAGTTTGCACCGAAGTTAGTAGGTGCTCCTTTGGCACAACATTAATGGAACCTCTGAAAACAAACCCTTCAAACCGTTCCCCTCTGACAACCACATTTGCTGCGCAAATCCTTGTGGGTTAGTTTGATGGAGCCTTTAGCTTCCAGTTTTGCTAACATTTTCAACATAAACATATGGAGCAGATAAACATGTGGAGCAGATGTCCATCAGTGGCTATTAGCCACAAGGTATAGATGGAACACTCTGTCTGGGGCAGTGAGGCTCTGTATTCTTGGTGTTTGGGGGGCAATAGTGGGAGGGCTTCTGGAGTTCTGGCTCCACTGGTGGACCTCCTGAGGGCACCTGAGTTTTGGCCACTGGGTGACACAGAGTGTTGGACTGGATGGGCCATTGGCCTGATCCAACATGGTTTCTCTTATGTTCTTATGTAACTATGTGAGCGTCAGAGTACAATTTTGGCACAATCATATATCACGGGCATGTTTTGCAGACCCTTCATGAGACAGCAGCTACTCTTAACACTGTTGGGACCCCTTTCATTAAGAACTTCAGAGTACCCCATCAGGTTACCCAGCTTTAAAAGACCTATGTCTTCTAGAAAGCCACCAATTAGGATATTATGTTATTCCTCACTTTTATTCAAATTTTTTTGCTGTTAAATTTTATGGTGTTTCTATGGAAAATTCTGTATTTTATGTGCTTCAACCTTTGCAACCTGACTAAAGTGTGATTCATTCATAGAAGGGGTAGGCATTTACGATGACTGGATTGATAAAATAATTCATACCGGTCCACAAGGCAATTAGGCTGGTATATACCACCAGGCTAACATGTGGGACCAGTAAGAACATGTTACAGATGAGCATGGGGTGAAACCTTCACCTGTTTCACCGCACATCCTGTGCAGCGTATGACAAATTGAGTACCTGACCCATTCTGCTCATGTGTTAGCAAAGGGATGTGTGAGTTTGCCCAATTGCCAAAGGAGAAAAACAAACACGGAATCTTTGCTCCTTGACACCGGAGACTTTTGAGAATGCAAATCACCACATCAATGAAGATGTTCTGTCGTCAAGAGTCTCACAAGAATTAAATCCAGTACGTGATACCAGATTCTGCATGAAAAGGACTGGCAATTAATATTTTATTAATTTACACCTACAGGTTATCATAAAAGCCGAAGGAAGTTGTTCTAAACTCCTTCTGTTCTGTCTTCTGCCCGGTACATGTTAAAATAACTTTCAATGTTCTTTCCCCCCCCCCAGTTTCCAGGAGAATGCTCTGCAATGCCTAATCTGTAAGCTCAGTTTCCTTCTATGGCCACAAAACTCGAAAGGCATCTGAGAAAGAAATTACACGAAAAGGATTGTACTAAGTGACTCTTAAAAACAGCCGGTGAAAAAGAAGAAGCTCAGAGCTGAAAGGCAGACAAGCAGAAATGGTTTCCCCTTGCACACAGAGATTTACAGTAGGAGCACACCCGTGCGAGAGATCTTTGAACAGGAAAGCCCCGTACTGTGCCTGTATCCTCTGCTGGGTGTGATTCTGAGACTCTTCAGTGTCTTGTGTGGTCAATAGAGCTGTATAAGTTACATGGCAGGAGAAAGCGAAATTGCCACGGCAGCAAGCATCCTGCTCTAAGCGTGGAAAGAGCGCAAGGGATGGCTTCACTCCTGCCAGGAAGGGTATATACCACAAGAGGCATCTGCAGTCCTGTTTCAGAGCTGCTGAGGAATGGAAACCAGATGTCTGCAAGTTCAAAGGAGGGAAGACCAGTCACGAGCGAATGTTCGTCAATTGAAAAAAAATGCTGGCAGGTCCTTGAAACAAGCCAGCTGTTGACCTACAGCTCCATTTTCTTCCCCCTGCCCACTAGCTATAAACTGTGAATTCGGTCCTGAACCTAGCTTCTAGTAAGGCTGCTCCAGGAATTCCTTCTTGTACAAAAGCGCAAATACACACGTTAGGTCTGATTGTCCATTAAACATCCCAATCAATCAATAAAGGCTAGTCGATCAATAAACAAAGCCAGGCTGTGGCTCGGTTGCACAGAGATACCTAGAACTGTGCTGCGAACCTGTCCCCTCAACAAGAGTTTTGGGGTCTAGAATCCAAATTTATTTATTTATAAATCGGACTTCTAGACCACCCTCCCCTGTACACACAAGGCTCAGGGCGGTGAAGAACAATTTAAGAATACATTCACAAATCAGTAAAATGGTTAAAAACAAAAGCATTCTAAAACAATTTCAGATCATGCTAAAGAATAATTGAATTATACGGTTACCCCCCCCATGGGGGGAGGGGAAGAAAGGAGGAGCCAGGCAGGACAGAGACCGTCCCCCCCATGGGGGGAGGGGAAGAAAGGAGCCAGGCAGGACAGAGACCGATGTTGCCTTCAGCCACAGGCCTGGTGGAACATCTCTGCCTTACAGGCCCTGCGGAACTGCATCAGGTCATTGGCATGAAGGTCATTTGGCAGAGAGTTCCAAAAGGTCAGGGCCAGGGACAAAAAGGCCGTGGCTCTGGTTGAGGACAGCCAGATGTCTTTTGGGCCAGGGATCACCAGTAAGTTCTCTGCAGAGCGTAATGTTCTTTTTTGGGGGGGAGTATACCAGGAGAGGCAGTCCCGTAGATACATGGGTCCCAGACCGTTTAGAGCCTTAAAGATCAATACCAAAACTTTGAACCTGATCCGGTACTCCACCAGGAGCCAGTGCTGCTGGCAGAGCACTGGTTGAATGTGTGCTGTCTGTGGGGTTCATTTGAGGACCCGCGCCACTGCATTCTGGACCAGTTGCAATTTCTGGGTCAGTCTCAAGGGTAGCCCTGCATAGAGCAAGTTACAGTAGTCTAGCCTGCAGGTGACTTTTGCATGGATTACTGTGGCTAGGTTAGGGCGGGACATGCCCCTGAATATGTTCACTGAGAAAATAAACTAGCTCAAAGGAGGAGCTCCTTGCTTCATCTGCCCACATGCCAGGGAAGTGGGGCGACATCTCTCCCTCTTTTTTTTTGCTCTTTGTTCAACCAGAGCTCTTCCATCCAAGACAGTATGCTGATAGAACCCCTATTCTTCCCTCCTCTTTTTTGAAACCTCCCTCCCTAGCTCCATGATAAGCATCCGTGGGCAATCCGCATGTTTTCCTACGGTACCAGTGACGTGTGGCAACTGCCAAAATCCCTCTTCCTCCCTGGACAAGATCCACATTGGATTGGCAAAATACACACACAGAGATCATGTGAGTAGTCTAGACCACACGATTACTTTCCAGTCTGCCATGATGAAGGCATGTTGATAGAATGGGAAGTGCCCACATGGTCCCCCGGGTGGGAAGAGAGATGTTTTGACATTCAAGTCAAGTTTGGGTTTGTGGTGTAGACATTCCCAGTAGGATAAGTAAAAGCACTCAAGTAGACTTCCACTCGGCGGTAGAAATTCCAAAGAGGAAGTCTAATCTACTGAAATTGTGCGCCAGGCAAATTATTGATATGTGTTTCAAGCTTTTAAGTCTCCTGTTATTATTTATTATTTTGTTGTGTTATAATTCGATGATGGATCCTTGCAGTAGGTTATCTTGTACAGGATATTTATTGAAAGGGTAATAACAATCTGGCGAAAGGAAAGGCGTGGATGGTTTTGTTTTGAGCTCCTTGCAGCAGCCCGTTCAAAAAATGCTTTTTACAGATGCGGTTTCTAAATGGAAATTAAGAGGCTTTGCCACAGCCATCTGGAAAGCAGATTGAAAGTTAAGGACATCTTAACAAAATAACAGAGAAAGAACTGCTTTTGGCCCTAACAGTCAACAACCAAAAAAAAAAAATTTTTTTTTTCTGTTGCAATTATATTGTTCTTTGGGCTTTTGTCATTTCAGATAAGCACTAGAAGCTAGAGGGGCTAAATTCAGCTGATAGCTTTCATAGTTGATAGCTGGGCAAAGGCAAAGATGAGCATTTCACATAATAAAATTGTGTGGGAAACATGTAGGATCCTTGGACTGAGAAGTATTGGAACCATATCTCAAGACCTCGCCTATGTGAAACTTGTGCTCTGTAGTCCACAGAAGAACAATAACTCCTCCCTTTAAAATCTGCTTGTCTCTGTAAATCTATGTCATTCTCTCTACCAGTTTTTTAAATTATTCAGTAGGTTCTCTGGGGGCAGAGACTGTCTGGCGTTAGGATGTCACATAGCATCTAGCAGAGATAGGTCCAAACTGGGATACATTTACCAGATGCTCCCTTAACTACAGACAGACAGACAGACAAATACAGCACTCAGTTTGCTGTCAGGCATTTGAAACTGAGAATGCCCAATTTGGAAATGTCAGAATTATGTGAAAGTTCTGTTACTGGACCCAGTCTTTGTAGCCAGATTTCATATATTATAAAGAACTGCCAAACCAGAGCAACATTTTATTCGAATGGTTCTGGCTTAGTATATGCCAGCTTTTGAGATTGGGTCCCATTACAGCCATGCTTGAATAAGAATTATTCGAAACGCGGCATCAGGCATCCAGATTACGTGTCGGCTTTTTATGGCTCAGAAAATTTGATGACTTACACTTCAATTTGGACTCTGATATTTGCTTCTATTTTGGAGTAGACACATGGAAAGACTGTAGACTGTGCTTCTATTATGCTTTATTATTGCACCTTGGCCAATTGATTCATATTATATTTGCTGTTATGCTTATATGATTATTATATACTTGCTATTTTGCTTGTGTGTTTATTTTCAGTCAGTGGTTTATTTTCAGTCAGTGGTGTGTTTTTTTTGTTCCTTAAGCCTATTCAGAGGTCAAACACAATGAGGAGCATATTGGCTTATATCATAATACAATACAATCATACAATTACGCAACATAGATAACAAGATGAACCAGAAAAGAATTGTTCCAAAGTGAAACCACTAGGCACAGAATAAAAGTATAAATGAGGCCTCCAAAGATGCAATCACTGCCAAATGATGTTTCACTGATGATAATTTCTGGTCCAGAAAGTGTCTTCCAATGATTGTTTAGCCAAAGCATACAAAGTAGAGCTCTAAACCCCAACCGAAACAATTTAAAACTAACTCTGTAATAATTATTTAAATATAGGTTGATGTTAGGGTTGTCAGCGCTGGGCTCGGAAGTACCTGGAAATTTCTGGGGGTGGAGCCTGAGGAGGGCGGAGTTTTGAGGGGGGAGGGACTTCAGTCGAGTTTAATGCCATAGAACCAACCTTCCAAAGTGGACATTTCCCTGGAGATCAGTTATAATCCCAGGAAATCTCCAGCCACCACCTGGAGGTTGTCAACCCTGATATTAATCACCACCCTTTAATTACTTTATTTTAACTCATTCAACTTTGTTTCAATCACTTGATTCTGCCAGTGAATTTGTTAGTTTGAAACTTAGATAAGAGTTTCAGTTCTATTGTATTTTACTCTCTTTCAAAAACTTTAGAGCAAAACTGTGTCTTGTCTAAAAGTCCATGAGCTGTATAGACAAACCCGTAAATAAATGCAGAATACTGAACATATAAGTATCAGAAAATACAATAGGTATAGAAATACAACTGCATCCCTCTTACGTATTGGCTTAGTTCAGACACGGTGTGAAATCGTGGATTAATTAAACTAACTATGGTTTAGTGTGATTGTCTCAATGGGCACTCCACTAAACTACAGTTACTTAAGGCTCCATCAAACTAGGATCTGAAATTGGTTTATTATCCACAATTAATCTTAACTATGGTTTTGCATGATGTCTGAATGCATACATCCTTGTCTGCTTTCTGGTAGGGTTGTCAGGTCTTACCTGGCTGTTGACGGGGTCTCCCTCTTTGTTCCCTGGAGTTTTCCCCCAGGTTCGCGCACCACGGCTCCCACCCCACTTGCAAAAAGACCCTTTGAAAGGACTTTTTACAAACAGCCTGCGCCCGTGACCTCCCCCTCCCTCCCTCCTGCTGGATTTAAAGGGCCGACCAGCTGAAGCCCTTTAAATCGGGCAAGAGGGGAGGGAAAGGGGTGGCCGGGCCGATGGTTGCTCTTGGGGGCGGGGCTTGGGGGCATCCCCACCAGCCCCGGAATGCCCCCCCAAAATCCCCCCACTGGCGTGAGGAGGGGACCTGGCAACCATAGTTCTACTAATCGCTGCCTCTGCCCAAAGGTGGTATAACCCTATGGCTGGAGTAGTCAATTTATTCACAGAAGCCTTACCTGTCCAGTCGCACCCCAGCACCTCCAAGCGCATCCCGATTCCCGCTGGGGACCATCTTTCCGGATGAACCCTGATGTACTGTGCTGGAACAGGATCAAACCTTCGGACGTCAGGGGTATCATAATGCATGTTTCCTTCGAACATCTTAGAGAGACAAACAGATGTTAAGTATGAAACAGGTTAATATGAAGCTTCCTGGCTTAATGCAGCGTTCTAAAAATGGACTGCAATAGGCCCTTTCAACCTCATTCCTACTTCGTGTTTTACCAAGCAACAGCCACGCCTGCCGAACTAAATTAAGACAACCTGAATGCCGGTTGTTACAAAACAAATTGCTGGAAGAAGCAAAGACAGGAATCCTGAAAAGGAACTTAACGGGAATCATGGGGTAAGTCAGGATGCTATATTTAATGGAACCAACTCTATTTGTTTTGGGTTTTTTTAAAAAAAAAAACAACAACCTTGATTGGATGGTTTTTATATGGCACAAACGTTTCCCCTCAAGCTCAGATATTTTAAAGCCTAAACCAAACTACTCTGAAGTCTGTGTTATTTATACATCCAGGCATAGTATTCTGTCATCGGGTTGAGCTGAGAAAAGGGTGGAGGGAGTGAGAGAACCCTTTACAAGCGTCTAAGAGACTGCCATAAAAAAAAGGAGAAAGATTTAGTACAACCGTTTACCCGCTCACTGCCCCTGAGGCAAGGTCAAAAACCAGCAGGTGAAATCTGCACCAAGATCGGCTTGGAGTATCAGGAAAATGTCTCCTGATCTCAAATGCATAAATGAACAACACAGCCATGCTGCCCAAGGAAACTGGAGACTTTCTCCGAGGGTTTATTAAGCTGAATCCTGCAGTTGCTGGCAACCAGATAATCAACGACATCCCCCATGACTATATTAGTCTCCACAACTGAATGCCGGCCAGGCTATGCTAATTTAATTATAGTTTGCTTTGGCTTGTCCGTTGCAGACAGAATGCTACAAAAGCAGCACAACGAGTTATACACACTCTTGGCGCCGGTTCCATTTGAGCAGGGTAGATCCCACAAAAGCATTACAGTTGCCATGCTGGCAATTTATTCTATGGGGAAACTTGCACCGTGGTTTAGTCATGTTCTGCACTTTGCAGAGCTGGCTATGCAAAGAAGGGTCAGGGAAAAACAATTCCTACAGTACTGTACCTATAATGATAAAGCTAAGGGGAGGGGGTCCCCAGCCTTTTTGTGCTAGTGGGCACCTTTGGCATTCCGGCAGAGGGTGCTGGGCAGGATCACAAAATGGCCGCCACGGGAGGCGGAGCCAATCACAAAATCTCAGGGATCAAGGTTATATAGAACTCTAATAGTAATTCTTCAACATTTCAGGTAAAAGCTCTGTTTAACAGGATTCCTGTTAATCTGCACAGCCAATCAGAAGCCTTCCTGGGGGGAAAGCCCCACCTAGCCCCACCCACTTTCTCAAAGCACTTGGTGGGTGACAGAAAAGGTGTTGGTGGGCATCATGTTGGGTACCCTGGGTTTAGATTGTTACCTTTAATAACATATTTTTAATCTGGAGAGGCCGCCCAGACTCCAAAATCTAGCCGTGTAACTTTGCATCAAGTTCAGACAGTGCTTCCTCCCCTTATTCAACCTCTCTCGCAGGCTTTGGCACCAAACGTGCTTCCTCTTAACCAGATCCTGATCCCAGATAGGCAGAGACTCAGACCTGATCCAGCTTTCCTGATTTCTTGTACAAACAAAATCAGCTCCTGGCTTTCGGTATTTAATACTCCCCTCTCTCTCGCCCCACCCCACCCCCCATTTCCAGAGAAGTCCAAAAGGCATCTCTCTTTGAAGCCACTTGTACCGATTCAAGGAGTAAGCCCTTAGGAACGCGGCCTTGTGTTTTTGTAGGAATTAGACCTTCAAGCCCTCCTGATTTGTTGGATTAAGCTTATTACAAGGATGCAGAAGTTCAGCCAGCAGATAAGAATGGTCATACAGAGGGAAATGGTGCAGAACATTCTTTCCCCTCAAGCGCTCCCTCACACATGGCGCTTACATTCTTCCATCATAGAAGGTGTGTATGCTCACTAGCTTGGAACCCTATAAGGGCACAGCATGAGGCATGGCTTGCTTCTACATTTTTTGGGGGGGGCGGGGATGCTGATTGGTTCAACAAGACAAGAAGAAGACGAAGAAGAGGATGAAGAAGAAGAAGAAGAAGAAGAAGAAGAAGAAGAAGAAGAAGAAGAAGAAGAGCCTGCTTTTCTCTACCTTAAGGGGTTTCAAAGTGGCTTTCAACCGCCTTCCCTTCTTTTCCTCACAACAGGCACTTTGTGAGGCAGGTGGGGCTGAGAGAGTTCTGAGAGAACCCTGACTGGCCCAAGGTCACCCAGCAGGCCCCATGTGTCTCAAAGTGGCTTTCAATCACCTTCCCTTCCTCTCCCCACAACAGGCACTGTGTGATGCAGGTGGGGCTGAGAGAGTCCTCAGAGAACTGTGGACTGGCCCAAGATTGTCCAGAGGGCTTCATGTGGAAGAGTGGAGAATCAAACCCGGTTCTCCAGATTAGAGGCCACCGCTTTTAATAATTAGAGTTGGTTTTTATACCCTGCTTTCCTCTACCTTAAGGAGTCTCAAAGGGCTTACAAACACCTTCCCTTCCTCTCCCCACAACAGGCACCTTGTGAGGCAGGTGGGGCTGAGAGAGCTCTGAGGGAACTGGGACTGGCCCAAGGTCACCCAGTAGGCTTCATGTGGAGGAGTGGGGAATCAAACCCTGTTCTCTGGATTAGAGTCTGCTGCTCTTAACCACTACACCACGCTGGCTCTCTAAAAACACTGGAGCCCTCTCTAGAAGAAATGTTGAGACCCTATGGAAAACCCTGTCTGAGCCAGTGGATTTGTTTGCTGCTCACCCTCTGCCTATATGTATGGACTGGTAACTTCCATTTCAATGTATCTGAAGAATTGTGCATGCACACGGAAGCATATACCTTGAATAAAACTTTGTTGATCTTACAGGTGCCACAGGACTCGAATTTTGAAATGGGAAACGTTTAACTCTGAGGGTTTACAATACTCAAATATTATGCTCTTGTATACACAATCAATGGAAGTTTATAATTACTGTCTGTTGTTTTACTACCGTTTCTGTTCCTCCCCCTCACATTTCTGCAACGATAACTAGAAAAAAAGAAAACAAATGGGCTATTGTCCTGCAACTGATGTTGTTCGAGTGGTCTATTGTATAATCACATCTGCTGGATCTTGAGTCTGAGCAGAGTATATTTCCGTACTTTTCCGAGCTAAGCTACAACATTTTTGGCAATGGCCCCACCCAGCTTGAGGAGAGAGGTGTGCATCCCTTGAGTGGATGGAGCTACGTCTGTGTAACTTCTACTTAATTCAACCTCAATCTCAAAAGAATCTTTCTCCATCTCTTTTGCCCCTTGGTGGAGTCAGGATTACATCTGCACGAAAGGGGCCAGGTCTCTCGCTATAGCTGGAGAACTCCTGTCCTCCCCCCAAAAAAAACTCCTACCACCACTTGACCAGCTGATGGGAAGAAATAGGGAGGGGGTGCTCAACACTGCATCAACGTGCGATGTTACTTCCAGCATGAAACCAGATGTGATAGCATTACAGCTGTGCGATGCTCTAGGATCCACCTTGAGTGGCTGCCTCAATGTGATGATGTCACTTCCCGTTTCACTCTGGAAGTTTGTGCATCGGAGCAATACTGAACAGACTGTCCCTGTGGGCATTCTTCCACTGGGGTGCCAGTTATAGCCGGCATCCCTGGTCCGCCCACTTATTTCTTCATTAGATGATGCAGCGGGATGGCATCTGTTCCCAGGAAGAAGAACGAGCTGAGCACCAGTTACAGGTAAGCAGCCTGTTCTTCTGTCTCTGCATTATGCACACCTATGGGAAATATTAGCAAGCTGACCTCTCTGGTGGAATAAACCGGTGTTGTCATGAAAATAAGATAAAATGTGCTGCTTGGCCAAAGTCTGCATCTTTCCTGGCTCTCACATCCAGGCATAATGCTTCACAAAGATTAATAGCTGAGCCCAAGTTGCTACTCTGCAGAGTTCTAGTAACAGGATGCTGAAAGCAGCAGACGCAGTGGTTCCCCCTTGCCAAGTGTGCTCCAATAGTTCTTGGGAGTGATTGTCATGCCAGTTCACTGCATAGTGTACTTATCAGAGCCATGTTCCAGTGACTGGGGTGCTAAGAAAGATATCCGATTATTTTTACATGATCCGCCATAACAAAGACACAAGCTGGGGGCCTTTTCTAAAGGCAGCAGCTTTATCCATATAGAAAGATATCTGTACTTGCTTGCAGGCTTGTTCAGTCCAAGGTCAGAGGTGCAGAAGTCAGACAAGGCAGACTTGGTGGCTTAGCATCTATTCTACACGTTGCATCCACACCTAACAGCCTCTCTTGGCTGGTTTTATAGCCCCACACCTAAGGGTCATGCTTGCAATCAGTTGCTCGGAAGCAATCCTGCAACTACTCATCTTCATTATCAGCAAACAGCTGGGCCAGGAGGCGTGCGCTTTGCCATCTTGTTTGTAGCTGTGTTCTCAGCCTCCATCTGCGGCGCTCTAAGGGTGTAGGTGATACTGGTGGGGCTGGGAATGGCTAACTGAGATTCACCTGCTGAATCAGGGCTGGAGGGTGTTGGTGGCTCTGCACCAGCTGTTGGCTGTAAATCCTTACAAGACTGCAGCTCATTTTCCTGCTCGTCAGTTTCTGTTAACTCAAGGCTGACTACACGAGGCTTCTCTTCTCCTGAGGAGTCCTTGCTATTGCTGAGCCCTGTCTCACCCATGACAATATGACTCTTTTAGGCACCTAATGAATGTGATAGCTTTTCTGTTTCAAGCAACAGGTTTTGGAAGTAGATGAGTTTTGGAATTAGATGGAATCTTGATACCGTTGTCTTGGTGGTGGTAGAGAGATAAAGGAATGGCATGCACAGTGTACTCACTGGCTGAACAAATAACAGCTACGAGAACTGCCCCTTCAAAAGGCAGGGGAGACACACTGTTAACATCTTGAAGGGGGTTTCATAAGCTTCAAGATAAATAAATGCAAGTTCTACAAAGGAGCAGGTTTCTTTATACATCTGTTTCAGTCTAAGTTGAGAGAAAAGAGATGGGCCTGTGATGGCTGGGTAGGATGCTAATATGGCCACTCCGGGGGGGGGGGAGACTCATTGGGGAAATCCTTCAAAGTCTAAGAGGAACAAGTATTCCAAACCCAAAGTGACAGAACAATTTAATAGATTCTAGCTGTATGACTCAGTGAACAGGTGGATGATCCACTTCGAGACGAACGTAGCATGCAGGGCTTTTAGGAGAACCTCCTGGAACTGGATTTATTGATCCTGGAGAGAATTATTCACTGTGCCATGAGCTCAGTGTGTTAATCTCCAGATGCAGTATTTTGAGCTAAGAGGTCTCTGGCCAAAATGGGGTCAACAGGATACAATTCATATTATCCTGCACTATTTTGTTGAAATCCCAAGGTACGAGTGATAGGGAAAGGAACCATCTATAGAAGTTCATCTGATCAAAGAGACATGACCTCTCCCTGGCTCTACTGTAATAGTTGGTACACTTGGCATTGATCATGGAAACAGGGAACAAAGGAATGTCAGAAAGAAGCAAGCTTTAGCTCACAGATTCTTAAAGTTCCTCACAATGCTACTGTTGTGGAAGCTGAGGAAGAAATGAGTGGAAAGGCACAGCCACTTGAGGCACGCGCATTGGGAGTCTCTCTGTTTTGGTGCTGGTTCTAGCTTAGCTCTGGAAGACACTGAAGGAAGCTGTGTGCAAACTCAAGATCACACAGATGTTCCTTCACAAAGGAACAAAAGAAGAAGAAAAGAAGAGATTGGATTTATACCCCGCCCTTCACTACCCAAAGGTGTTTCAGAGCGGCTTACAAACTCCTTTCCCTTCCCCTCCCCACAACAGACACCCTGTGAGGTAGGTGGGGCTGAGAGAACTCTTGACAGAAACTGTTCTTTTTCAAGAACAGCTGTGCCAGAGTTATGGCTTGCCCAAGGTCATCCAGCCAGGTGCAAGTGGAGGAGTGGGGAATCAAACCCGGTTCTCCCAGATTAGAGCAGCCCTTCTCCCTACATCTACCCTGGTATAGTTGGTTCTTTCTCATCAGTCCCATTCATTCTGTTGCACATGGAGACAGACACCCAATTCTGAATGAGGTGGCACGCTTATGTTTAGTCTACACAGTGAACATTGTCTAGGTCACCTACACACCAAAAACTGCGCTCCATGACATGTTAGTTTTCTATATGCAAGAATTCTTTGTAAGATGGAGCACTCCATCCTGAGATCCTCCCCCCCCACACACAAATATATGGCAGTATTCAGGCCTTAGACATGGGGTCCAAGAGCAAATGGACTATTTCCTTCATGTTTCCCCCAAACCTATGTTCTCACTGGGAGTGGTCTTAACCAATGGGCTGGAGGAGCAGCTGCCTTGGGCCTTACCTCTCATGTCCCTGCCCCCCGATGGAAGGGGAGACAACAGCTCAGCAGCAATGGCTTCTCGCACCCACCCCACCTGGGTCTCAGGCACTCTACAAGGTGGCGGCTCACGTCCAACCCATCTGAGGCCTGGGCAGCCAGCTTCTGGTGGCAGCAGTGTCTCCTATCCACCACCTCACCCAGGACAAGGGCCACTCCTTGCTTAGACCCAGAGATGCCATTCCTCAGTTGGGGGCAGGGGATCCCCTGGTGTTTCAGGCTCCTGCCCATCGCTGGGCAGCTTGGGGAAATCCCGCCCCCAAACATGGTATGCTGATGTCATGCAGAAGTGACATCATCATGCTGGTGACACTCTGTTTCAGGGGCAAAATTCTATGGTTTGAGGGTGCTTTTACCATAGAGTCCACCCAAAACCAGACTGTTGCTGCAGGACACTGCGAACGTGATGACCCCACTTCCGCGTGATGCTAGCACACTGAGGCGTTCCGCCCCCACTCTGAAAAGTCCCTCCCCCTCCCCTGCCGGTACAATCACTGGATCTGGCAACCCTACTTGGACCCCGGCGGCAGGCTTGGAGGGGGATGGTAGTGATTCTGGGGCCCCATCATGGATTTTTGTCCTGGGCTCCAGAATCACCAAAACTATCTCCGTTCTCACCCAGATGGTTAGTGCCAACAAAGAAAGGAAGAAAGCTCTCATCGAGGCGCCAGCAGTTCCACATTTGTTCCTTCCGGAAAGTCCTACCTTAGGTTGCATCGTCTTGGGGTCTTGTATAAATTCCCAGTCCTTCCCATTCAAGCTGTAAGCCACTTTAAACTTTCTCACAAAGGCTCGGGCTTCTGCCACACTGATGCTGTCCCCTCCACGAGCTCCTTGGATAATCACCCCTTTCACGTTCTTCGGGACTCCCAGGTCTACTTGCAGCCACTCCTCCCCGGGCTGTGCTTGAGGTATGCGCGGGAACCATCCTGAGCGGCTGCTGACGAGGCGTGCTACACTGGGGGCCCAGTGATATTCTCTGATCGAGGAAGCTGAGATCTGGGAGTCCGGGATGAGCCCAGAAAGCATCCCCAACATGTTCGAGCAGGGCGAATCTGCGCAGAAAAGAAAGGGGCGGGGGCATGAGTGGCTAAAACACAATAACAGGCTTAAGATGTAAGTACCAAAACAGCACAGGAGGAGTAACAGCCCACTGCAGCTAACGGCTAGGTATGAAATGTCAAAACACTTAAACCAGCTGTGCTTTGCTTTATAACAGCTATCACGGGCTGCAGGGGCCCCTCAATGGACGCTCGGTACATCCTTACTATGGCAGCCGCCATACAAATTGCTCGCTGCTTCCAGCTAGCTTTGCTTCCCCCAGCCCCCAATCCCCTAAGTCAATGGAAAAACATCAGGACCATAACAGGATCCTGGCTGCTGCTCCAGGCCTCTTTTAAAAATAAATACTGGTTAAGTCCATTTAAATGAGAGATAAAGCACAACTGGAGGCAATAATATTGAACAGTGCAGATGAGACGGTGGCTCAGATGTCCTTCCCATATGGTGGCAACATACCACTGAAGCCACGGCCTGATGTGCAGAATGGGGAGGGGGAGGGGCCAGGCCTGCAACTATTCCAGCAAGTCTCTGCAGTATAAATTATGACCCCAGTGCAGAATTTTTGGGTAATTCTTCGAACTGCAGGATGAGCTCCCTCTAAGCTGTGGAGTCTTGTGAGGGAAAAAAATCTACTTTAAAATCATCACTAGAATATTGTTATGCTGATAGGCCACAGTAACAATAGGCGTAGCAGGTTCTTGGAATCCTCAACTTTCATTTAAAAAGCCAGTCTTTAGCTACACCTGTTGTTATAACAGTATATCAATATGATGATATTCTAGTGCCATTTTTTTAAATTGCCAAAGCCCTGGTGGCCCGGAGGAGTGAGGATTGAACTTCTGGGAGATTGGGGCAAGGAAACTGGCCATGAGGAAGTTTCGCTGCTGCTGTGCTTTACGCCCAGACTCACCAGCAACAGGGAAACCACGAAATACTATCCCTGTGTGGAAGCTACCTTTCTCTCAATGGGTGATTCCACACTAGACCTTAAATCCTGGGTCAACCCTGTCCCCGAACTTACATTCTGCACTACACTTGAGTTCACCCCTGTAACTATCTTGGGGTATTTTCTGTTTCCACATTACATGGAGGTCACCCCAGTTTCGCCCCACACTTGTCCCGAGATAAACAGATGCTGTTATAACCAGGGATAGATGCAAGGTATTGTGTCGCGAGTTGAACTGTGATAAAACCAGGGGTGAGATCCAAGTGCGGAAAGGACCAATGAGCACTGAAGCAGTCAGACTAGAGTTAAAGTGAGGTACTGCATGTGCAAATTGGCACTGTGTCTATTACTAAAGCAATGAGAATATTTTCTCTTTTCTTTTTTTGCAGGAAATGGCAGCTCTCAGTAGATGCACATTTTGCTCTCATGCTCACATACTGGAGATCTTGAAGGAACATTTCCTCAGGTCATATTGGACAGTAACTGGGAAGAGAAGGGGAATCACAGTTCCTCTTCCGACTGGTACCTTTGGCATGGTCCATATTCCTTTCTTTTGCCTTCTCTATGTGCCATATCATAATCAAGGTGATACGAGGTGATACATCCAAGCAATGGATTACATCTCATCGGCAATACTGACTGCATCTAGGGATCTCTTTCTCTCCTGCTGTCACACTGTTATCCTGCCTTTCTTCCAAAGGAGCAGCCCAAATAGCCCAGCTTAGCCTGAGCTTGTTGAAATTTGGTACCTAAGCAGGGTCAGCCACAGTCAGTACTTGGATGGGAGACCACCAAGGAAGGTGGGGGGGCTACATGAAGGAAAGCAAGGGCAAAGCTCCTCTTGTCTCGGCCTGGAATGCCCCATGGACTGCCACAAGCAGGTTGTGACTCCATGGCACGTTCTTCTTCTAAAGAGCTCAGGATAGTATACACAGCACTCCACCACATTATAATCAGGGCTTTTTTGGTAGAAAAAGTCCAGCAGGAACTCATTAGCATAATAGGCCACACCCAGCAGCAGAAACACATTAGCATGTTAGACCACACCCCTGATTGCACCACTCATTGGCATATTAGGCCACACCCTGTGTTACCAGAAGTGTGGTCATCCAGCCACACCCACCTTTTGCTTCTTATTCTGTTTAGGTTGTTTGTTGTCAAAACCCAGGGCTTTTTTTGTTGCAGGAACTCCTTTGCATGTTAGGCCACACACCCCTAATGTAGCCAATCCCAATGAGTTTCTACTGCTGGGTGTGACCTGTTATGCTAATGAGTTCCTGCTGGGTGTGGCCAACTTGGGAGCCAGCCAGAACTCCGTTCCTGTGCGTTCCTGCCCAAAAATAGCCCTGATTATAATAATGTGTCAAATAATAATTCCCCTATTGGCTTTCCTGCCCAAAAATAGCCCTGATTATGTGTCAAATAATAATTCCCCTATTGGCCGGTTGTTCTAATAAGAAGAGTCAGCCTTTATCTTGCTGCCTGCATTGGAAATGTGCTAATATGTTGTCCCAGTAAATCTTACAGCCATTTATATGGTAGCTAAGAACTATTATGCTCCATATTACAGGAGGGACATGGTGCTAAGGCTGAGAGCAGGACCCAAGAATGGGGTTGGCATGGGTACATTTCACCAGAACCCGGGGACATTTGGTGTATGGGGCAGGCCTTTGTGCCAGGGCCAGAGAGAGTCCCGGGTGAGAGAACTGTAGCATACCTGGTGAGTTCATGACTAAATGGAGTTTTGAACTGGGGACTTCACAGCTCATTCACGTTCTACATTTACGTAAAAACAATTGAATTCATAGGTATAGAGAACCCTTTCCTGGGTGTAAGTCATATTGAATAGACCTGGGTAGGGTTCTCAGTAGGCCCAAGCAGGGCGGCACTATTAGTGGCAGTACATGTAAAAAGGATGCAGTTGATCACAAGAAAGCCTAATGCAATTTTAAGCTGCATTAACAGAAATCGTCATATCCAAAAAGTAACGATTCCTTCTGCTCTGTTCTGCACTAGTCAGACTTCATGCAGAATACCGTCTCCAGTTCTGGGCATTTGCACTCCGAGAAAAAGGAAGACAAACTGGGACTGGTTCAGAGGAGAGCAACAAAGATGGTCAGGAATCTGGAAAGTCCTGTGCGAGAGAGGCTTAATGAACTGGGTAACAATAGCCTGGAGAACACTAGACTGCGAGGAGACATGAGAACTCTTTAAATACCTGACGGCTGTCACATGTCTCTGCTGCTCCATAGGCCAAGAGCACATCTAATGGGCTTAAGTTCCTGGAGGGTAGATTTTAGCCAGAGATTAAGAGAAAACTTCCTGACAGTAAAGAGCAGTTCAACAAAAGAACCCATCACATAGGGGACAGTGGGCACGCTCTACCTGCCTGGAGGATTCTAAGCAGAGAAGGCAGAGCTGTCTATAAGGGAAGGCTTTCATTTGGGATTTCCTGTATTGAGTCTGAGTAGCTGACCTATATGGCCCCTTACAACCCGATAATTCTTTGGCACACCACCCTCTATTATGGAACAAAAGAGAAAAAGCCTCAGTGGAGCTATATGCAGCGTGAGTGCTATGTGCCTAGACTAGATGGCATCTGGTGGCCTCCCAAACCCGCCGATCTATAAAGTCATGTTATCAGTTGAGCGCACCACTGTCAGTAGCACTCCAGGTAATTTCAGCTGTGACATGGGGGTTGCAGCTGGAGTGAAGTTTAAACGTTTTAATGACTCGACATTCACCGGTTTTGGGACCCTATTCGGGCGGAAAGGGGGCATATAGGCATATAACTTTCTAAGCAAATAAATAAGTTTTTGCATCGACAAGCAGACTCCGAGATGGGCTATGTGTCAGACGCAGGGAAATCTGGATCAGCAAAGACAAGGCATCCAAACATGCACACCTGTGATGCGGCAGCCGTAAAGCTCCAATCGGAGGGCAATCCCGGTGTGCCAGAGCTGGGGCCGGATCCGTACAAACCGAGTCAACACGGGAGCGTGGAGTTTGTTGAGAACCACTTCCGAAGCGTCAGTGTTGGCCTGGAATACCTAGAAAGGGAGAACAACCAAAAATTCAGCTTTCTGTGTGTGTAATGTCACAGCTGCCTTACAGCGATCCCAGCAATTTAGTTTTACCCTTTCCTAATTAATACAGAGAGAAAGGGGAACGTAAGTATAAAAGGCACCTGTCCCAGTGGTAGCACATAATGACAGAGAGGAGAATGGGTTAGGTCAGACCCCCCCCCCCACCTCGCCTATCCCTTTAGCAGGCTCAACAGATAGAAAAAGTGATGTTCTCCCAATTGATTTCTCCCAGTCAGGCTGCTGTTAAAGGCACAGAGTAGGGTGTGTGTGTTTTTTCTTGCCATTTGGCAACCACTAAGTACAAGCGATGGACCCTCCACTCTGTCCTTTTTGGTGATGACAACGATAGAAATACGATCTCAGGCAAAATCAATTAAACAGAAAGCGCTTCTGGAGTTTGGATGGACAAGTCTGAAACACCCTTGGCACAATTCCTAGGAGAACAGAACGTTCAAAACGCTCCTAACCCCCCCCCCACAAACCCCTAGATCTCATCTGCCTGAAACAGAGCATACAAGCAGAAACTAGCAGTATGGGTTGAACTAATGACTTTACGCGTCCGTACTTCACTTTCAATATTTACAACGTGGGCGTAGTAATGATCATTCCCTTTTTTTCAACGGCGCTGATGCAGATTCATAGCTGCTTGTTCATATCTGGTTACTGAAGTCTCGTGGTTTCCTCCATGCAAGTCACACTTTCTCCAAAGAGAAGCAAACCACTCACTTCCTTTATACGCACAGCCCAGATATAAAACATTTTTTTTAAAAAAAACCCAAGACCTTCATTTGGTGCAACGTATGTTGCAGTATTATTCAAACAAACTGCTGTCTCGCCAGATGGCCATAATCAATAATTACCATATGGGCCTTACATTTCTCCCTCCCCCTTCTTCCTTCCATTATTTTAATCGCTTGGTAAAATGTCAGCGAATTTTGTTTCTGTCTTTGTCTTTGATATAACAGGGTGGGACAAGAGGGAAAGCCAAAAAAAAAGTTCAGGAAAGGAAACTGCCGCTGCTGTTCCGGGGCGCTCAAGTCTTTGGGGGTGGAGCCAACCATCTTCAAAGGAGCCTTCCACCAGCTGAAGGAATTCTACTCCAATTCAAGGGGTTTGTCCTCCAAAGGGAAGGGCCGCTTAAGTTGGACAAAGACCTCAGGCTTTGCTCAGTGGAGTGGGAGAACAGGGGTAAGGTCCACCCCAGTGATCCCCATACAAAGTGAGACGCTTCCTTTGTGTAGCAGCCCCAACCGCGCCCAAACCAGCCTGATCTCATCAGAGCTTGGAAGCTGAGCAGGGTTGGTCCTTGGGTGGGAGACAACCAAGGAAGACCTCGCAGAGGAAGACAATGGCAAACCTCTTATGCTCGTCTCGTGCCTTGACAACCCCGTGAGGTGGAACTTCATGGGGCTGCCATGAGTCGGTTGCAACTCAAGGGTGCAACACGTTACCTTCTGCTTTTTTTTTTTGAATGCCAGAATGTAGTGTCCTCGTAATTAATGTATCGTTTATTTATTTAATGAATTCGTTTAATTTATATCCCGCCCTCCCTGCCGAGGCAGGCTCAGAGCGGCTCACGTACAATATAAAACAATTAAAACAGAATGAGATAAAAAACAAAGCAATACAATTATAGATTGTGTTTCAAGCCAGTGAACATCTCTCCTCCTATGTTGCCAGGGCCGAACATTGAGATAGCAATTGCAGATTCTCCACTGTCACCCTTCTGGGTTAGAGCACTACAACCAAGAGAAAGAGAACCATCTATGTAGAGGCTGCCCACCCTTGGGAATGCCCTCATGTTGGAAGGCCACAGGCCACCACCCCCTGGCTGCCTTTCAGCAGCAGTTGAAAATACACCTATTGGGACAAGCCCAGAGCTGAGTATTTTACATCCTCCTTGGGTAGTAGTGTTTTGGTGCTGACTGCTAGCTTGCACCCTGATGGCTGTCATGTTTATTGATGGTGTCGTACTGTTTGGCTTTACTGTTAAGCCACCTCAAGCACATTGCGGAAAGCCAGGGTACGACTATTCCAAGTAAATAAATGAATTCCACTTTGTCCTCTGCTCCGCTAAGTGCAGAAAGTCTCTGAGGAGTTCGCATTCAGCCTTCCCCACCCTCTCCCCTATGCAGAATCTAAGTCCAATGCTGACTGTGCATTAACTAGTGCTGACTGTCAAGCAGAAGTTAAACTGCTTAATCCCGGAGTCTTGGGATTCAGGACGAGGCGCTGTTTGAAGGTCCAGAGCATTTCCCTGATATTCCAGGGGAGCTGGCCTTAAAGGGATAATACAGATGTTTCCTGGGTTTGGAATAATTAACGGCAGTTATCTTGGGGCAGATGGAGTTTGCCAGAGCCTATGTATCACAAGCACAGTGTCCTCTACGTGAACTTACTCTCGGCAAGAATGTATGGGATAGCCATTCCCCAGCATGAAGCGTGGGAAGAGAGGCACGGAGAGATCGTAGCAGGCGGTTTTTGCGGGCCTCTGGGCAAGAGGCTAGTCCCACTTAGCCCTTAAGCACATGAAAGCCCCCTCAAGGATGTACAGTGCTTAGGCTCGGCCAAATGTCACTGTCGATGCTGGCCATGCACGCAGGCAAAGTAGAGCTGTTATCAGGGTAGTAAAGGTAAAGGCTTCCCTTGCTCGAAAGCCAGTCGAATCCGACTCTAGGGATGCGGTGCTCATCTCCGTTTCCGAGCCTAAGAGCCAGCGCTGTCTGAAGACATTTCCGTGGTCATGTGGCTGGCATGACTAGACGCCAAGGCGCACGGAACGCTGTTACCTTCCCACCGAAGCGGTACCTATTTATCTACTTGCAGTTTCTTGCTTTCGAACTGCTAGGTTGGCAGGAGCTGGGACCAGAGACGGGAGCTCACTCCGTCATGCGGCACTCGGTCTCAAACTGTTGAACTACCGACCTTCCAGTCCGCAGTTCAGTGTCTTAACCACTTGAGCCACTGCAGCCCCTCCGTAAAGGGTACAATCAGATATGATTACCCCTGGAAAAGTCAGAGGGAATAAACATATACCTTCAGATCTTTAGCTGGGTATGTACTTGGCCCAGGAGAGGAGACGTTCTTCACAAACTCCTTTCATGGAGTTCGGGGACTTGTTATTAACTTTCCTTGAAAAGCACAAGCCTGCAGGGAGGACTCGTTAATGCGTCTCTCTTGGAGTCCGGCATGTTGATGCATGGAGATGGCATTAGCAGACAAGAGAATAATTCAGCGCTAAAATCCATGACGGCGACTTCCCCGTGTTAACAGCAGTGGCGCAGCCGGGGCAAGTGGCACACAGTGGTAAACCCCCTGCCTTAAGTAGAGCGGTGTTAAGTGATAGGGTAGGAAGGAAGCCCTTGCCTGCAAATCTGTGTGGATAATTGGGATTTGGAGCAGACTTAGAGCCAAACAGAAATGCTAATCCAGAGAATATAGATCATGCTGGTACCGTTTAGAAACACAGCATGGTTGATGGGTTTTTAATATCCTACTTTATCCCTGCAGACCCCCCTTTCCCCCCTTCTCCCCTTGCTCAGCAAGTCACCAAATACCCTTTTCCCAGCAGGAAGGCTGGAAGCATCAGTGTCTGCTGTGAGTGGCCCTCATGTGTGCCAGTATCAGGGAATGCGTGTATATTTCAACACCAAAGGAAAAGCCCACTGCTTTGTGTCAACCCACAAAGCTGATCTGTAGCGGGTCATCCAAGAACCAAAAAGAAACCCTCACCTGGCCCGTACCCCTGACCTTGCTTCGTTCTCTCTTTTGATCCCACTCTGCCGCTCTCTCAACTTCTGCTTCAGTCCCTTCCGTCTCCAAACACACATGTAGGTGTCGCTGAAATTTATCTCCCCCCGCACCTCGGCCACCTTCGCCTCTGATTTGTTCCATATGGCGACTGCGGCCTACTCTGGCTGGATTCCTTAGTATCGTCTATAACTTAACATCAAATAAAGCTCCAAAGTATTCCAGTTCTTACGCTATTCTAATTATTTAAATATATTGTTCAAAGCAATTAGTACACAAGCAGGTTAAGGATTTGAAGGAAACTTTACAATCCCAGAATAGACTTCACGATTCCAAAGTGGAGAAAAGACTTCACGATTACAAACTCGAAAAGCGCAAATGTCCACAGAGCAAGTGCGCAGCTCATCATTTATTGTTTGCCTCAAGTCTTAAGGACTGGATTTACTCGCTCTATGGACATTTGTGCTTTTCCAATTTGGAATTGTGAAGTCTATGCTGGGATTGTAAAGTTTCCAAATTCTTAACCTGTTTGTGTACTAATTGCGTTGAATATTATATTTAAATAATAAGAATAGCTTAAGAACTGGAATACTTTGGAGCTTTATTTGATGTTGTATAAGTTTATATTTTAAGTTATATATGGTCTACACTAATTCATCAGTTTCCTTAAATTGTTGTACAGATTCCTTAGCAGGCACACTTGTTCTGCTTTTAGCCAGTGTGCAAACGATGGGGGATTGATTCTTACTCTGAAGCGGGGTGTGTGTGTGTGTGTGTGTGTGTGTACACGCCAAACTTTAGAAACTCACACCTTTGTGAGGGAAAGGTACAGCGTGGTGGCCGGAAGTTTTACAACTGTACCTTTTTCTTTTTTTCCCTAAAAACCTGCCTCCTTACAGCAAGGCTAAACGACAGCCCTCGGGTTACCTCTGATAAGACTCTTATTTCAAAGAGAAAAAGTGTGAAACAGCCTTTACACGCTGAACCACCTCTTCAGGCTACGTTCCTTCATTACGTTCAGGGGGGATTCAGCCAGGTGCTTAATCGTATGCCTAATTCCAAACAGATGGGCACGGCCTTGAAGATTTCTTTTTAGCCTTGTGCTTTTCCTGCAGAAATTGGAAGGAATTAGGGACGTGTAACTTGCAATAAAAATACAAGCGGAGCACTCCTAGGCAGATGGTGTCATTTTTAAAGGCCGGGGACCAAAGTAA